CAAAGTAGAATACATGTATGTAACTACATTGTATGTATCCATTGGCCATTTTCATTTGTTTGTTTGATTGGGTTTTACTTCAAACTGACACAGTATAGGTCATTTGGGGATGTTCCAGCATTATTTCAGGCACGAACGGGCACCCAAGAAGAACCACGGATGTTACGTAAGCTAGCTGGATAGCTTCCTTACATGAAAAATCATGTCGGGATTCGAACCCAAAGCGGTGAGGGGCAAGTTGCTTGAAATCAACAACCTTAACCACTCGGCCACGGACACCCCTTTGGCCATTTTCAATCCCCAGTTAAAGCCCCTGCCCTGCGGGAAAGTTAGACAATAAAACTTCCACTTGATATTCGCACACAACAAGTTGGTGCAACTGCATTTACTTTGCAATAAAGGGACAATTTTCTAACAAATAATGAAGCAATAAAAAAAATGTATGACTCGAGTATAATGGCAAAATACATTGTAAACATTGTTATTATCAATTATAAAATGATTAAGAACTTAATTAATTGGCTGTCAAATGCTCAGTTATAATTGCTTCCAGTAAATTAACAGCAGCTGTTATATATATATGCATATACACTACACACACACATTGCATGTACAATCGAGTGGGGATTCCAATGGTCAGTGCCTTTTGTTTAAACCTGTTTAAAATAAAGGGAAAAGGACACTCGTCACTTTCAATAATACATACAATTAACACATTCAGGGAGTTTTTTTTTAAAAAGAAGAAAATCTGTTTCATATCTCTTGCAAATTATTTTATAACTGGGTCATATATTATTTGGGCACTGTTTTCAATTGGTACCCCTTTTTATCAATTTTAGCTAAATTCAGCTGAGTTATCTGCAGCTAAGAATATGAGGTGACCCAAGTTGGGCTTGAACCCATGACACCTAACAACACAGCCAAAGAAAACAGGTCCATTTCAAAGACTTTCTATAATGAGTTAAAGATGTGCATAAAGATCTGTAAAGATATTTTATATAGAATGAATACCAGTCACTCAGTTGCATTGGCAAAAATGATTATGTAAACTTATACATAAAAACATATATATAAAGTGGAAAAGAAAGAAAATCAAGGGAATTCCCAATAAATCCCAGGGTTTCATGTTATCAAAAGGGGCAGGACGTGAAGTAGAGTAAATTCACACTTGGTTCAAGACAACGAAATGGTTGCAAACTTGATAAATATAACTCCAGCTCATATTTTTTCCAAGAAAGTTGTTTTTGTTATTTTAATATGCCTATTCATAGTTTTGACACATTTTGAAACATTCAGTTTTAGGTTACAGCTCCCTAGCTTCTGATGTGATGAAGTTATTGAAGATATAAACTAGTCATGTGCATATCTTGAAATTTGACAATTCTGGTCAATCTTTCTCCTCATCTATTTCACAGGTTTTTTTTCTCAGCACATTTGGAAAATGAACTGACTCCCAGAATTGGGAAATTTTACAATGCTATTGACAAATTGGGAAAAACAGACAATTAACATAACATATACATCAAATAAGACAAAGAAATCAAATATTTGGTCAAATCAAATATTTGGTTAAGTGAACTCTTTTCTGTCCCAATGGGAACTGTAAATACTATTACCTGCAGCCATAGACAAATGCATCAGCTTTAAGAAAATGTATTATTTTACTGATTTTGTTATCTGGTTAATAAGTTTTACTTGCTACAAGTTTAAGTTTAGCAGGCACGCGTGATATTTTAACTGGCTAGGAAGTTGCCAATCTATGTTATCTATGTCTCTGCTGTATTGAATAACATTAAACAAGTCTTTCCCAGTGTCACCATGGGTGAGTTTACCAGACCAATTCCCAATGGAAAATATGCTTACTTTTTCCCAATCTTTAAAAAAGAATATTCCAAATAGAACTTAAATTCTCAATACCAAAACTGACAAATTTGCTTGAGTTCATTCCAGAATTGTAACAGAGAGAATCTGATGTTTCTACAAATTCCCTTGTTTAATTTTTATGCTTTGAAAGATAGTTTGCATTGGTTTGAATAAATAAACAATAAACAATAAATTTAAAGTACAATACCAAAAGAACATGAAGAGGGTTTCAAAAAGTACCAAATATTTTTTCCACTTAAGCAATGCTACTCGGCAAAAATTCAAAAACATGGCAAGCCTCTTTTCCTAAAATGGCCAGGGAAAAGGTCTGTAATATAGATAAATAATGTAGTGATACATTTAGGATATGGAACTCCAATGTATACGAATTTAAATCCAAATATAATGTCATTTTGTCAATTCAAGCACATATTTATACTTACCATATATTATATCCTATGATTTTATTTCAAAACAGCTAATATTAAGTTTTATTGATATATATGATAAGCATATGTGGATAATGTGCTGGGATTGACAAATTTACATATTTTCTTTAATTTTAATGCATTTTCCCTATATTTTACAGCCAAATACATTTTAAGCTGTTTCCTCTAGCCCAAAATAGGTATATTTCCCCCTAAAATGCTATTTTTCTCGTGAAATGCCATGTGCATAATCTTCAGCAGAACAATGATGGCTGACTTATATCAGCTAGTTTGTAAATTTAATTGAAGCTGTCCCTATAATTTTATAGCCTCAGATATGTATCATGCATGTTATATTGAACTGTCACATGTAAGTTGAAAAATTTATAAAATGTGTGCATAAATTTCATTCTCAGTTAGTGGAATATGATTTCAAATTTTCCCTCTTTTCTGATTTATTGCTTTATATTTTCCCCTTCAGAAAGCCACAGATTGTTTTGAAAATAAAAAAAACATCACTGCCATCACATGTACTTAACATTTTATATATATATATATATATATATATATATATATATATATATATATATATATATATATGCCGAAGCGGACCCGGGCTTTGGCTGGCCCGGCAATAAACTTCATGTGTATATTTAAAAGGAAATCAAATAAAAAACAATTAAAAAATAGATAGTATTTTTACCTATCAGTGACATTTTCAGTGTCAGTTCTATAAGGTGCTGCCATATTCAATGCAACTCAATGAAAATAAATAGGCGGGGTATTACGGAACAATTGCAACTTTTCCGATTAATAACAACGTTGAGTGTTCCGAATGAAAACGGCAGTGGTGTAAAAAATACCGAATGACACCTTTAAAAGGGAAAAAATAACTTTTTTTAACTGACTTCCCTGTTCATAGGCTTTTCCTAATTTCTTATAAAAAAACTTAATATACGGTAAGCAGTTTTGAAAAAAATCTTCATATTTCAAAACAGCTTATATTAAGGTTTTATGATATATACATTATAAGTACCTGTCATGGGATTGACAAATATATAAAATCTACATTTGATTTGGGTTTTGTGGCGTTTTTAGCTCAACACACAAACACAGGTGCTCGTCCAGTCTTGGTGCCCATATAAACAAATTGAAGTTAAAAAAACACCAGAACAAATATTCTGGGTTGAGTGAAAGAAAAAAAAAAGATTTTCCCCCTATATACCATAACTACGAAAAATACACTTTAATTTGTTAAAATCTTGCAAAATTCCGTTGATGGTCGGCCATCGTACTATTCCGCTCTCCTGGTTTCCTACGACTGCGTTCGCAGAACAGTAGACAACGGTAACCATCAATTTATTTGTTACTGTTGTCTATTGTTTAGCGAACGAAGTCGTAGGGGACCAGGACAATGGAACAGTACGGTGTATTTTTTTGTACTTTCGTTTTCGACAAAATGGCCGACCATCAACGGAATTTTGCAAGATTGTAACAAATTGGAGTGTCCGAGTTTAAATGTAAGTTATTTAAGGTTGTAAGTAAGGTAGAAAAAGAATGTTAACAATTTTCTAAATGCATGATGTGTAAAGAGTAGCAAAATAGCTTGTATTGTTACAGAACTCGACATTGTGGTTGTTCCACATAGTGTCCTAGTAAAGCTCCATAGCGTTACGGCGACTAGGTGATCTTTTCGTAGTACAGTAAACTTCACTTATAGCGAACACGGTTATAGCGAACTTCCGGTTATAGGGAACAATTTATTTTGGCCCGAAATTTGCCCTTCTTTATTTAATATTATAAATATGGTTAAAGCGAACACGGTTATAAGGAATTATCGCGTATAAGGAACTCATTTCTTAGTCCCAATTTAGTTAAAAGTAAAGAAAATTACACTTTTATAACGAACTCCAAAATATCGGCTATCCTTAAATAGACTTTCATTTTCATTGGCACGGATTAAAACTCGGCCGAATGTACCGTTTATCGTTGTATGTACTTCAATACATCTATTAAAATGAATTATTATAGTTTTCTATTTAGGATATTTTTAGCACGCACGTTCTCTTTTCACCAAGATAAAACGGTTATTTATTTCTTTTCTTCAATTATAGTTTTGCTCGAGTAAAATAATTATAATAATCTATTATCGGTTTTCAACAAAATCACGCTTGCTTGCAAGCATGATCCATTGCAAACTGCAAAGTACGCTTGATTTAAATGTATATTATATTTTATGATAAACTGACATAGGGAGTAAAGCTTAAACTGTAATGGCAATTATTTAAATTCCAAAAAGTACGTCTAGGGTATTGTGTCTAAAATAGAGATAAATGACTAATATTTTTTAATCAAAAGCTCTTCAAAATGGCGGACAATGGTAAACAATCAGTTCGTTATATGTAAATCTGTTCGCTATAAAAACTCCTGATACAAGGAAATAATTTGCTATATGCTTACAAGGAACTCTGGATATAAGCAACAGATTTTGAATGTCCCAATGAGTTCGTTATATAAGCGGAGTTTACTGTAATGGTATATAGGGAAAAAAATTTTTTTTCACTCAACCCAGAATATAAATCTAGTTGTTTTTTATTTCGTTTTTTTTTTGCAACTTCAATTTTTTATATAGGCGCCAAGACTGGACGAGCACCTGTGCACACAAAGTGTCTGTGCCCATGGCAGTAAAACATATAATCAATATTTTACCTATCAACATTTGACCAGCGAACCTCGCAATTTTCCACGGTGGTTGCGGGTGTTTTGCTATCCTTGCCTGGAATATGGCACGAACTCTTTGGTCTTTATTTGCCTCATAAAGATATTCAGGAAGTCTCCACAAGTCACGTATCCATCCGAGAAAGAAACCACCTAAAGACATCCACCACAAAAACGCTTGTTTATCTCTACCAAGATAAAAATGATGCAGTCCCAACGGTCCACCTAGCACCCAGCATATATACGCAACAACAATATTCGCCATGATACTTCTGACAAAGTTGTTTACCTTGCGTCCGATAATGAAACAATTCAATTATTAACTATCGGGAAGTTTATCAAATTTGCATTGCGCATGCTCAGAGTGTCAAAATTGGAAATTTGGATTCTATTTTTAGAAACATGACGTGTAAAGAATTAGTTTCGAATTTAAATTTATTCGTGCATGTAGGCTACTTTGTTTAATTAACTGAAACTTTAAATGTAATACATTCAGTCAGTATTGTTCATTTGTATCTCTGTACTCCCATTTAAATATCGCGTATCTTGTAAATGCAGTGCTACGGTTTAAGTTGGGTAGTGGATAAAAATAGATTTGAGTTTTCCCAATACCACAATGCAATGTTTTGTTTACAGCTGTGCAGCAACAGAAAGTGTGCAGCTGTCAGTTGTAAAATGAGTTGAAATTTAGTTTATATTTACCACAACGGTCAATAGATCGACAGATATTTCATTTAGCAAAAAATGCACAAGGTTCAGTTGATAACCTCATTTGGATAAAGGTAAGATAATTGCATGGTAAACTTGTTTTTGGAGCAATGCTTTGTACATGTAGATATAGATATTATAATATTTTTTAACCATGTGGAAAATAATACTTCAAAATAATAGCATTTTCTTTCCAAAATTTTTGTGTGTTCACTCAGAATAATTGCATTTGAATAATAATATGCTTTGTACATAGATCTATACCAAAATATTTTTTGACCATGTGGAAAATGATACTACAAAACAATAACATTTGCTTTTCAAAACGTTTATTTTTGTGTATTCACTCAGAATTATTTATATATGAATGAACAACTGCAATTGGAAGATAACAATCGGCTATACAAAAACAAGATTAAATATAAGCTTTAAGCTTTGATGCATATAAATGTTATTATATATAGTCCAAAATTATAATATGTATGACAAGCCTACTACTTCGCTTTGCTTTACTTCACAGCAAAGCCTTATTAATAGCACTAATAATAGGCTATGTTTATCATTTCAAAGACATTAATTAGACATTGTTTCATTGTTTCACTTAGCAAGTTTAAATATCGTTATATAATAGTTTATGTTTAAATATGTAATTTGTATGTATTTTAAAACAGTATTTTTCTGTTAAAGGTCGTTGGTATTGGTAATGCAGGAGTTGGGAAAACATGTCTGATCAAACATTTCTGTGAGAGTAAGGTAAATTAATTTGCTTAAAATCAAATATGTTATATTTCCATGCCTAAGGCTATTATATACATGTACATAATTATATACAGTCCTTTCATCATCATCATCATCATCATCATCATCATCATCATCATCATCATCATCATCACCACCATTAACCCCTTCACATCATCCTCATGGTTGTTCTTTTGTTGATGTTAATCATTGTTCATCATTGTGACCAGTGTATTATTTGTTTATCAAACAATTTGATATTTTGTTTTCTTTTTAAATACAGTTAATATTAAGTTGAAGTATTTTGCATATATCTTTAAATTGTAAAGTAATGTAGAAAAACATTTCATTATTTAACCATGTTGTTGTTACAGTAAAATACCTTTTTAAAATTAGAAAGTATTAAAGTATTCTCTTGTGACATGATATTGTTAGAAACGAGTAAAGAAAGAGAAATGTCAAAGCTTGAATATAAAATTTAACGAGCATTTTGAAATGGTCATTATGAAGACAATTATTGTTTAAAGTTAATGAATTCAAAGTGATAATAAAAAGAAAATATTGAAAAAATTAATTATAAGTCATGATGAAACAGTGCAATCAGATTTCAGATTTTACAAGATTAAATGTTAAATTAACGGAGGTTGTCCCAAGAAATCGGGGACTGTTTAGATTTTGAAGGATAAATGTAACGTAGTGCCAAAAAAATTGAAATGGGCTAATCCTAATATATCAGTTGCAGTAAATGGCGGGGTACCCACTTGCCAAACACATTTTAACTACTGAAAATTCAAGTAACAGTATTGTACTATGGTAAGCATGATGTGAGCACAGTCTTCAAATCTAGCACCACTGAGAAACGACTTCCTTCTAAGGGAGAAAAAACCCGGAAAAGTCTAACGGCGCTCAGCCCGGCGAGTAGGGGAGACGAATGGCTCTCCCGAACTCAGACACGTTAATCCCCAATTGCATTGAATTGTGTTGTTGTCGGGATGTTGCTTCGTGAGTAACACGTCTTCGGCCGCTTCTTCCGTGGAACTTCTATTCAATCACGGCACGTACTGGGTCTGCAAACCAAACACGCCCATAGTAGTTAATATCATTAGAAATACGAAATGTAGTGAATGTTAATATTGCTCGTATTTCTGTAAATAAAATATGAATATTATGGAATTATGTTGTTTGTATTTTCAGTTCAGTGGAGGGTATCAACCTACTGTAGGTGTTGATTATGGATTTAAAATTCAAAACGTAAAAGGGTATGAGTGTAAGTACTAATCTACAAATATAAATATCTGTGTTCTAATTATAGTTTGAACTTTATAATTATGTTGTATCATAGTTTGGGGACCTTTCTGTTGAAAATGTGTCAGAGTTAATTACATCGTATACATATACATGCACAGTGCGTTAACTGGAGTGCATGTATCAGTTACCTGCACTCCAGAGCATGCACGTTGATTGGCTCTTTTTTTGCTAGGATTTACATATTGTGACGGCAGGCAAAGGTAAAGCGACATAAATATGGTATTCAGATGTTCGTTAATTGGTTCCTTTTTGCCGGGATTTCATATTGTGACAACAGGGAACGTGTTTTTATGTTTGAAAGAGAAATAACAAAACACTCGGCAATCTGATTAATACTCGGGGGGCTACTAAGATGAATATGAGACCATGTCTAAGATTTCAAGAGTTTTCAAATTTTTATTTCAAAAGGAATAAACATTTTACAATATCCGTCGCCTCGGCAAAAACGAAATGACAGTAACAATGAAATTGAATACAAATTATTTATACAACAACGATCTGACAGAAGACATACAACAATGATCTTATATTTGAAAGGCATACAACAATAATCTTATACTTTTAAGACATACAACAATGATCTTATACTTGTAAGACATACTTCTTCTTCTTCTTCTTGTCGTTCGCCCTTCTACAATGTCACCCCAGCCACAGCGATGAAATGTGCAGTCTTCCGGAGGGCCTCAAGTTTCCCGTAGAGTTTCTCCTCAAGTGGGGTGCTTGCTGGCCAAACTTTTCTTCGCAGCTGCTCTAAATATGGGCATCTGTGTAATAAATGTTCTGCCGTTTGATTTTCTAACGCACAGGAGCATAGAGGTGATTTGGACAGCTTTAGCTTATCATGCATGTGTGCATTCAGCCTGTTATGGCCAGTGCGTAGCGTAACAAGCGCTACCTGTTCAGCTCGGGTAAGCAGATTGTTATCATTCTGTGCTGTCTATGTACAGACTCAATCAAACCGAGTCTGCAATTCTAATCTTATTTTGTTGTGATTAATGCTTCCGAGGGATCACTTTGTTTCCAGAATTTTGGCTTCATTAGTGCCTTTATCAGCGTAACTTTCTCCTCATGCCTTACGGTGTTCTGTGGTAGGTCTCTTTTGGCACCTAGTTTGGCTAAGCCGTCTGTTTGTTCATTTCCAGGGACTCCGCAGTAGGCTGGAATCCATTGTAGTGCCAGCTCTCTGCCATGGCTTACATAGCTTACAGCTCTGGAGAGTTCTGGTAGCCAACAGTTGTTTAGGGCCTCAAGAACAGACAGGGCATCTGTTAGCACCACCACATTTGAGAAGTCTTCTTGCGACTCTTCAATAAGAGTAATAGCCTGCATAATAGCTTCAACTCCTGCCCTGTAATTGGTGCAGTGTTTTCCGGTTGGGCAACTATTTGTCTTCGTTTTACCTCCTGGGTACACAATGTAGATGCCAGCTCCCCCATCTTGGACAGCGGCAGTTGCTGAGCCGTCTGTATATACATGGGTCCAGATCTATTGGGAAGTTCTCATGTATCATAGCTTGTGTTAGGGATTTCTTGGTCATCTCGTCCTGTTCCCAAGATGATAATTGTGGGACAGTAGTGCGAATTTGTATGTGTGACAGTTCATGTTTACATGGCTCTGATAAGTCCTCCCTACCGAGAGGAGTGATTGCTGGTCAAAGTCTAGGGCTGTATTTTTTGACAAGCTGTTTGGATTCATGTATAAAGCTGCTCCTTCAAATACGATTCTTTGTTAAAATAGATAAATACAGAATCCCTAAAGAAAGCCCAACACGTCAAAATTGAAAATGTTGCAGGCTCGGTTTGATTCAGCCTGTTCATGGACGGTACTGGAAAGTGCAAGTTACCGTTCACGCCCCGTAGCACCGGTTAAAGCAGAATTCAACATTTATACATTAAATAGTAAAATTTTGAATTTAGAAACATCCGCAGATGTGTTCATACGGCAGTTATCATGGAACCTTCAACGTGACACTTCCGTGCCATTCCATGAAAAGCGGCGTATGGTCCCCAAGTAATAAAAAGCGTGTGCCCTAAACGAGAAAACAATGGGCGGAACTAAATAAAATGGAATTTTGAAAGGGGATCAGAGTTTATGAAGCCTGCGTATCACAGATAAGACGTCAAAAGACAAATTTAAAAAGCAGGCAACATATCCTAAGGGTGATTCAACATTATTCAAGTAGGAATATTGGAATCACCCAACTAGAAATTGCCGAAAAGTTGAAACTAAAAATACCACAAGCACAACAATAATGTCGTGCTGAACGATCTTCAAGGATCGAAAATATAACATCATTGATTAAATGTACGGGGAGACTTTTTACAGCCACCACACGGCACAAATAACACGGATGTGATCATAAATTAGATAAATACAGAATCCCTAAAGAAAGCCCAACACGTCAAAATTGAAAATGTTGCAGGCTCGGTTTGATTGAGCCTGTTCATGGACGGTACTGGAAAGTGCAAGTTACCGTCCACGCCCCCTAGCACCGGTTTTAGCAGAATTCAACATTTAAACATGAAATAGTAAAATTTTGAATTTAGAAACATCCGCAGATGTGTTCATACGGCGGTTATCATGGAACCTTCAATGTGACACTTCCGTGCCATTCCATGAAAAGCGGCGTATGGTCCCCAAGTATAAAAAGCGTGTGCCCTAAACGAGAAAACAATGGGCGGAACTAAATAAAATGGAATTTTGAAAGGGGATCAGAGGTTATGAAGCCTGCGTATCACAGATAAGACGTCAAAAGACAAATTTAAAAAGCAGGCAACATATCCTAAGGGTGATTCAACATTATTCAAGTAGGAATATTGGAACCACCCAACTAGAAATTGCCGAAAAGTTGAAACTAAAAATACCACAAGCACAACAATAATGTCGTGCTGAACGATCTTCAAGGATCGAAAATATAACATCATTGATTAAATGTACGGGGAGACTTTTTACAGCCGCCACACGGCACAAATAACACGGATGTGATCATAAATTAGATAAATACAGAATCCCTAAAGAAAGCCCAACACGTCAAAATTGAAAATGTTGCAGGCTCGGTTTGATTGAGCCTGTTCATGGACGGTACTGGAAAGTGCAAGTTACCGTCCACGCCCCCTAGCACCGGTTTAAGCAGAATTCAACATTTAAACATGAAATAGTAAAATTTTGAATTTAGAAACATCCGCAGATGTGTTCATACGGCGGTTATCATGGAACCTTCAATGTGACACTTCCGTGCCATTCCATGAAAAGCGGCGTATGGTCCCCAAGTGATAAAAAGCGTGTGCCCTAAACGAGAAAACAATGGGCGGAACTAAATAAAATGGAATTTTGAAAGGGGATCAGAGGTTATGAAGCCTGCGTATCACAGATAAGACGTCAAAAGTCAAATTTAAAAAGCAGGCAACATATCCTAAGGGTGATTCAACATTATTCAAGTAGGAATATTGGAACCACCCAACTAGAAATTGCCGAAAAGTTGAAACTAAAAATACCACAAGCACAACAATAATGTCGTGCTGAACGATCTTCAAGGATCGAAAATATAACATCATTGATTAAATGTACGGGGAGACTTTTTACAGCCACCACACGGCACAAATAACACGGATGTGATCATAAATTAGATAAATACAGAATCCCTAAAGAAAGCCCAACACGTCAAAATTGAAAATGTTGCAGGCTCGGTTTGATTGAGCCTGTTCATGGACGGTACTGGAAAGTGCAAGTTACCGTCCACGCCCCCTAGCACCGGTTTTAGCAGAATTCAACATTTAAACATGAAATAGTAAAATTTTGAATTTAGAAACATCCGCAGATGTGTTCTTACGGCGGTTATCATGGAACCTTTAATGTGACACTTCCGTGCCATTCCATGAAAAGCGGCGTATGGTCCCCAAGTGATAAAAAGCGTGTGCCCTAAACGAGAAAACAATGGGCGGAACTAAATAAAATGGAATTTTGAAAGGGGATCAGAGGTTATGAAGCCTGCGTATCACAGATAAGACGTCAAAAGACAAATTTAAAAAGCAGGCAACATATCCTAAGGGTGATTCAACATTATTCAAGTAGGAATATTGGAACCACCCAACTAGAAATTGCCGAAAAGTTAAAACTAAAAATACCACAAGCACAACAATAATGTCGTGCTGGCTGAACGATCTTCAAGGATCGAAATAAAACCATACAGTTTGTTTTTCATGGGATGGTCTGGCAGGTACTGGTATTTCGCCACTTGTATCATCGTTTTTTCTTCTCTTCTGTGACCAAGTGGTGGAATAGCGGTGAGATTTTCCACAGCTTTTATCCGAGTCGATTTCATTGCTCCAGTGATCACACGCAGGGCTTGGTTTTGGACCTTGTCAAGCACTTGCTGGTTTGACTTGGCAGTTGTCATCCATGCTGAGGATCCATACTCCAGGTTGGGTCTTAAAGTACCTTTATACAGTAAACTTCACTTATAGCGAACACGTTTATAGCGAACTTCCGGTTATAAGGAACAATTTATTTTGGCCCGAATTTTGCCCTTCTTTATTTAATATAAAAATATACGGTTATAGCGAACACGGCTATAAGGAATTATCGCTTATAAGGAACTCATTTCTTAGTCCCAATTTAGTTAAAAGTGCATAAAATTACACTTTTATAACGAACTCCAAATATCGGCTATTCGTCAATATATCCCGCTTTTTCAACTTTCGTTTTTATTGGCACGGAATAAAACTCGCGGAATGTACCGTTTATTGTTGTATGTAATTCAATATATGAAAATGAATTTGTATAGAAGTATGTAATAGTTTTCTATTTAAGATATTTTTAGCTTGAGTTCTTGTCACAAAGATAAAACGGTAATTCCTTTTATTCTATAATTTCTTTTCTTTAATAGTTTTGCTCGAGTAAAATAATTATCGGTTTTCAACATAATCACGCATGCTTGCAAACATAATCCATAGAAAACTTCAAAGTATGCTTGATTGAAATGAAAAGAAATCTATATATTTCATTTGTTAAAGTCACCCTTAAAATATAATAGAAGATATTCTGAATCAATATAAAAGGAAGAAAAATGGATTTTCAAATTCCAAAATGAACGCTTTCGGGTATTGTGTCTAAAAAAGAAATAAATGACTATTCTTAATCAAATGCTCTTAAAAATGGCGGACGATGTTTAACAATCAGTTCGTTATATGTAAATATGTTCGCTATAAAAACTCATGATACAAGGAACTAATTCGCTGTATGCTTACAAGGAACTCCGGATATAAGGAAAAGATTTTGAATGTCCCAATGAGTTCGTTATAAGCGGAGTTTACTGTATACTGTTTTTAGTATGTCCTGACTGGCTCGCCAGGTGGTGCCTGCAAGTTTTCGGAGAATGGCTAGCTTCTTCCGTACTTTGCTTTCAGCTTGTGCTATATGAGCCTTCCATGTAAGACGTTTGTCGAAGGTCACTGTATGCGGCAGTTGTGGCATGCTCCTCTGAGCACCGAAACACAAGATCATCTGCGTAGAGGGCAGCTTTGATTCCTCTTGGTAGGTCAGCTACCAGGTCATTTATGAAGAGGAGAAAGAGAGTGGGTGATAGAACTCCGCCTTGTGGCACTCCATGCCTTTGTAGAAAGCTTCGGCTGGTATGACCATCTACACTGACTCTTGCTCTTCTGTTGTACAGGTAACACTTGAGCCAGATGTACATCTTTCCTTGTACCCCACTTCTCAACAGTTTCACAAGGAGGCCACCTGTCCACACCTTGTCGAAAGCTCTCTGGAGATCTATCCACATAACGAGTGTGGCTTTCTTCTCCTGAAAGGCATCTTCAATCTCTTGGACAAGGTAGGTAGTTTGGTCCTCCGTTGAGCGGAACTGCCTAAAGCCAGCTTGTTGGTGTGCCACTAAATTATGGGTCTCTAGATACCACTTCATTTGCTGGTTTAAAACCCTTTCCATGGTCTTGCCAACACGCTGGTTAAGCTTATTTGACGGTAGCTTGAAGGCTTCTTGAGATCCTATCCATATTTGGGGATGGGGATCATGATTGCTTCTCTCCATATCTGTGGTAGGTTGCTTTCTTTCCAGCTAAGGTTGAAGATCTCAAGAAGGGTATTGGTTGCAAACGTGTCTCCAAAGTCCAGTCTCCAAAGCTTGGTGCCATCCAGTTTTCTCTCTCCAGGTTCTCCTGGTGGTCTGGATCTTGGTTTTAAGCAATTTGGCTTTTGCTTGTTGGAGCCTCAAGTTGTTGTCTTGAGATGGTTGAGATTCAGCTTCTCTCCTGGCCTCTGATAAATCATTCTGCAAATCCTCCAACTATTCACTCCAGTATGGCTTGTAGTTACGTCTAGCTCCCCGGGAATGCATGCATGAACAGATTTGAGAAGAACTGTATTGAATTCTTTGGTGACTCGTTTGATGTCACGTCCCTGTACTCCTATGTTTCTACAGATTTCATCAGTGAGTGTCATGTATGCTGTCCAATCGGCGTTTTTGTAGTTCCATCTAGGGGCTTTAGACACTGTCTTGGTGGTAAACTGCATGTTGATGAACACTTGACGGTGGTCACTGCCTCCAAGTTGTTCACCTACTATCCTTGTGACATGGCTATGAATGTCTTCTGTGCAGAAACCAATGTCTGGTATAGATGTGTTGTGCCAACGTCTGGAGTAGAATGTCGGTTGGTCGTCAGGATCATTTATCAGGACAAGGTTGTGTTCATCTTGTCAGGTTTAAACCTCTTCTCCACGTCTGTCAATATGATCATATCCTCAGCTTTGTGAGTGACTGTTGAAATCACCCACAATGAGGAAGTTTGTGTCCTCAGTTTGGATAGTTTCCAAAGACAAGGCATTGTCATTTGGGAAGTAGAGGTTGACAACATGTACCACCTTGTCACTCAGTCTAAGGCGCAGAACCTGGTACTCGGAGTCAACCATATGGGTGTTGGTTTGGGTCACACCAATGTTGTTCCTTACCAGTGTAAGTATTCCTCCTTTTCTTCATCCTATCCTGTCACGGCGGAAGCACTAATAACCTCTGACCTTGAAGGGTTTGTCCTCTTGAAGGTCGGTTTCTTGTATACAGCAGACCTGGATGTTTTGTTCATGCAGGACATGCTCTTGCTCTGATTTCTTATTGGAGAGCCCTTCTGCATTCAGATGCATTACTTTGAAAAGTTGCTGCTTTGGTTTCTTCTGTCTGTAAGTGTGGCCAGTAAAATATCTCCCTCGTCTCCTGGCTCCAAATCGAGGTGAAGGGCCTCTAGTAGCTTTGGGTGGGCTCTGTCGAGGCTCAGAGCCCGACACTGTCTCTCCTTGGAGGGTCTTCAAAGAAGCAGCGCCACATCGATATGTTGTAGATGACAGTGTAGTCATGGCGTAGATGCATATTACCGTGGTTTGTTAGAGAGCGCCATTTGGCCCAGTAACGCTGACTTCATCTCTTTAGGTTTTCTGTAGGGGTTTCCCCACCCTTAGCTTCTGGCTAAAGAACCATCATTGGAAGCACAAGGTTGTTTTCTGTCAGGGTATTCTCCGTTAGCCTTAGCCTCTCCCGAAGCATCCACAAGGCAGTGGAGCTATTTACCCATACCTGGGGGGGGGTCTGTTCATGGGCATAAGGGCATGTCCACACGCCGGTGGGCCTAGCATACACGTACGTTTAGGGGCAGACCACCTCCGAGTGTCCTGTAGTTCAGCCTGAGACCGTGAGGTACTCCTCCACAGGGAGGCACTAAAAAGAGCTTGTCTGTAGAGAGGCTTTGTGTTGACAGGGAAGACTTACACAATCTGCTTCTTTTTCGCTTTGCGCTAGCCAGCGGCAGAGGCTGAAAGCGGAAGGTAAAACAAGCACACAACACACACAGCACACTATACTTGACGCATCTACAAACCAATTGACACACAATTAAGTAAGACATACAACAATGATCTTATACTTGTAAGACATACAACAATGATCATAAACTATTAAGACATACATCAGTGATTTTATACAAAAAGCCTTTTATTTGAAATTTCAATCATTCTGAAAGAATCCCATGTTTTAATTGAACTATTTATTCCTTTTTTTACTGTTTTTAGTGCGAGTACATCTTTGGGACTTATCAGGAGCACCCGAGTATATCGACGTAAGGAATGAGTTGTACGGACAGACGGACGCCGTATTTTTAGTGTTTGATGTCACCAACCAAGCCTCATTTGAAAGCCTAGAAACATGGATAAAAGAGGTCAATAAGTACAGTGGTGGTGTCCAGGAAATTGTTCTTGTTGCTAACAAGGTACGGTTACATGATTTTTACCATTTTGTTATGTCTTCGAGTGGTTGTTATTTTTGGTTTTTAGAAAACATTTATGACATTTTAAACCATTCAGGGCAATCGATTAAATCTTTATAATTTTATCTAAGGTAACGTAGTTTTCTTTTGTTAATATGATTGTTAAACTGTTTTTATCAGTTATTTTCTAGTAAGTTCGAAAAGATATTCCATTGATGCTTATGATAAATAATTTCAGATAGTTGTTCATTCTTATATGATCACATCACACGGTTTCTCAGCTTATCCTTTCGTTAATTGTTTTTTATTAATGTCTTATAAACATGACTGAAATTTACTGACACTGTCAAATTAAAGTACTTAGTCTTACGCAACGACATATCAGCTTTTTTAGATTTAAACATTTTCTAAATCCTACTTTTGGCCAATGTTTTTTTATTTTGTTGCAAGGAGTCTGTAAATTGATGATACTATATTATATTAATCATTTAACTATCTTTAACGTTTTTTAAAACCAATGAACGCTATTTTAAATCGTCACATAGATTTGTGTCCAAATTTATTCATAAGTTTAATGTTGCATTTTAGTAAAGTATCAACTTATTTCGTCTGGTTTATGTTTGGATGTATTTCTTTCTTCAAAAGGTAGACACAAAGTCAGGGAAGAGATTAATTTCTACACAAGAGGCGAAAAAATGGGCTTCTAGCCATAAGATAAAGTAAGCTTGCTATATATTTACTGTATATACATGTATTATATAACGAGAGTTAGTTTCCTGATACAGTACTGAATAGCAATTTTGGGAATAAGTGCCTTGTCCAGTGTTGTAAAATTGCTGAATTGGGAAAAATAGTTGGTACCTTTTAAAATTGCATGCATTTTTTACCATAGTAATTTCAGTTGTGCAAAATTGTTTATTCAAAGCGATGCAAATATAATTTCAAAGCATAAAAACACATTAAAATTTGACAGTGAAATCTAGGAAATATCTTGTCTGATACCATACTGGAATGAACTGCAGCAAATTAAATTTGTCCGTTTTGATAACGAGAATTCAATAGGGAATTCTTTTTTAAAGATTAAGAATGACCCGTGGTGACACTGGGAAATAAAATATTAAATATAAGAAACGTTTACGGAAATACAGTATTTGTCACACGGTAACCAATTATGGTAATATCTTTAAAATGATATCTTCCAGTTGTGAAGGTATATTATTGTGGGGTTTCCTAGCTTAACCTACTGTGGCACAGATTGTTAATGTGTAGTCACTAGTTTGATTTCCCGGTGTTCGAAAATCTTAGTGACATGTTGGTGTTAAAAAGTGACATTAGTCTACCCGATCGAATCACGGCAGCAAGCCACATCGAATTCACCCGAACACAGTTCATCAGCCATCGCATATTCCAGGACAAGTTGTCAAACAGTTTACCAGTACTTCATGTCTACACTTTTGCAACGAACTACTAGTTAGTTTCTCCTGTACATGCGGGGGCAGAGGTGCGGTGCAAATGGCGTAGAAAGGACTTCATGATCAATCACAATTGAAGTGAAATGGACCGTCCGGGGATCAAATATTTATAATAATTAATATGCTTTGTTCAAGTATATTGACTATTGGCAGGGTGGAAGATGATAGAAAAAGGTGACTCGAACAGAACTATACATAACTTTACATATATATACATATGAATTTAAATTTGAGTTTATTTATACTCGCCACCGGTTGCCCATATGGGCGAGTCTTCCAGAATAGTATTAGTCATTTTATATTTTGGAGGATAGTGTAATTATAGATACAGAAAGATACCCTAATTCCAGAACCTTCTCCTGGTTCTTTAACGTGCCAAGTGTTTAAGCACTCATACACAGGACTTCTGTATATATTGTGTGACATTCATTATATTTTGTGTGACATCCAATACTTATATATCGTGTGACATTCTGTATACATTGTGTGACATTGTCTATATATTGTATGACATTTAATAATGTATTGTGAGATATTTAGTATATATTGTGTGCCATTATGTATACCGGTAAATTGTGTAGTATTTTGTAATATATTGTGATATATTTTATGACATTTCATTATACATTGTGTGACATTCAGTATTGTGTGACAACAAGTAATACATTGTTTAACATTCAGTGTATATTTTATGACACTGAGTAAAAAAATATTATAAACGATGATTGTTATACATGTATGAAGTTCAGTACATTGTAATTTCTTATTTTATCAGTGTATTGTACTATATTATAGAAAATTGGTTTTATTTCTAATTATAGTTTTTCATTTTTTTATTTATATATTTTTCAGTTTGTACGAGGCGAGTGCTGCTACAGGTGATGGTGTTCATAAATTATTTGATGAATTATTAAACAATGCTGTCAATAAACGGAAACAAGCCGGACTTCTTCCTAAAAATTTGTAGTACATGTATATACTTGAAGGATTTAACACAAAGGTGTATCGCAGCATTGTATTATATCGCAGTATTGGATTATATCGCAGTATTGTATTATATCGCAGTATTGTATTGGATCTCGAATTGTATTGTATCGCTTAACTTGATAACAATTTTGAAAATCTGGCGAATGACTTATCCAAACTGGATTACTCGATATAAAGAAGTTCGTTAATTACTTTTGTCAAATTGAAGCTGATGAATAAATGTCATAAACTTTAAAAAGTGAAAATGTCCAGTTTTTTTTTTGAGTTTTCAAAATGAAATAGTCAATGGCTCCGTTACTTATCGGAATTCCAATGAAGCCGAAAAACGAAAAAAAATCAATTTGAATTTCTTAAATACAAATCACATTTGTATCCAGAATGTAATTGAAAATAGCATTTATGTGCAATTCTTTGCCCAAATTTTGCAAACAAGTTATTGGTTTAATTAAACTTCAAGATTGCTTATTTTCTTATACAAATTTACGGTTTCACCCTAGCTATTTTCATGTCATCCGATACAATTTTTTTCTGAACAGAACATTAATAAAAATTTAATAAAAAGAAGCTGCATCTTTTAAAAACTTGGCAGGAACTTCTTCTAAACCATTAATCTTTTCAGAGTTTTTGTTTTGTTTGTTTCATTCTTGCGCCTTTTCCAAACAGTATTTCAGTCATATAGGCGGGTAGTTTTCTAACCGTCGTACCTGGAGAGTTACATCAGTTCCCTTAAACCTTATATCGTCTCCTTAACTAAGAAGAAACAAACAAACAAACACAATTATCATTTCATAATTTCATATTTAATTGCGGAAAGCACTTGGGTCGCTATACTGACCAAACCACACATTTGTACATAATATCAAACACACACACACACACACACATATATATATATATTCATTGTCATTATAATGTTTTTTATTAAATGCACTACTGTCCTTCATTTCATTTCATTATTTGCGAAACACATTGTCGAACTTATAACACTTATGTGGTATATTAAAAACGTTCATCACACATTTATAGATAAATATTCAAATTCTTCAAGAATTGTCACATACTATAAACATAATGATTTAAATTGAGACACAAGATTTGTTTCGCCATTATATCTACTTATAAAACGTAAAAAATAATCGACGTGTAGAATGGTCAGTAACCCAAAGCTGAACTGACACATAAATTGACTACCGTTACGCACGAAAATTTCGTTCGCTAATCGCGACCCCTATCGGAGACTTTACACGATTGAAGGGAAAATAATTTCTTTCTAATTCGTCTGCTCAAACCAAAGAAACTATATTACTAAACTACCTTTCTCCGCGCTAAACTACCAAAGCATCTCCCGGGGCTTATCAGAGTTTAAAGTTTATATTCTTAAGTTCTTTGAATACAAATTACTCAAACACATGCTTTAAGTTGAAATTATTCTTCTATATTATATTTCTGAATATGACTGTTTCTCAAGAAAGGCAGACTAATAATGTTGGATTATTTCTCAAGAAAGGCAGACTAATAATGTTGGATTATTTCTCAAGAAAGGCAGACTAATAATGTTGGACTATTTCTCAAGAAAGGAAAAGCAATAATGTTTGACTATTTCTCAAGAAAAGGAGACAAATAATGTTTGACTATTGGAAGATGGACCAACAATGTAGAATGTAGAGCTATTCCTCAAGAAGGGGAGTTCATTAATGTTGGACTCTCAAGGAAGGTAGGGTAAAATGTTGGACAATTTCTCAAGAATGGGATGGTTATAATCAAGGACAGTTCCTCAGGAAAGGGATAGTAATAATAGAGGACTATTTCTCAAGGGAGGGAGAGAAATAATGTAGGACAATTTCTCAAGAAAGGAAGAACAAAAATTTAGAACTATTTCTTAAGTAAGGGAGAGCAATAATGTAGGACTATTTATCAAGAAAGGGAGAAAAATAATGTAGGACTATTTCTCAAGGAATTGAGAGAAATTATGTAGGACCGATTTAACTGAAAGATCGAGACATACAAATACATTCCTCTGATGAATTCCAATTTGTAACAATAATCAAAAGAAGGTAAAATATAGGCGTTGAAAAATATTTCTTTAAATTTCAATGTCTCACAAGAATTTTCTTTAAAAAAAAACAGATACCACGTAAAACTGGATATTTGTTCAATACATATAGAAATGTTAGCAATGCTTGCATAACAATGAAATAATGATATGTTGTAGGGTTATTAATTTAAAAAAAAACGTTAACTTTGTGATGTGCATGTGTTTCTAAACGAACCGGTCGTTTTTCGGTAAGTGCACTCAATTCCAAATGTCATTACCTACGCATTTAAGTAGGGATTGTATTTGCAAATACTTGATTAATATGCAAAATTTTATAAAAAAAATAAATAAAAACATTATATCAGTTTAATACAATGATCATATATTAGACGCTTATTAAACATCATTGACTGAGTGTACCTGATATGCTTGGATTTTTCTCTCGATATGTTCATGTACATCAGATAACTTACAGGATCGCGAACGTTGTTGGTGGTCTCAGTATTTTTTGCAAAATTTATAACTGTGTTAGTTCTTGTGTAAAATTAACTCAGTAAAATCTTATATAAAATAAACTTTTCCCAAGGAAATATCATGAGATCTTAGCGCAGTTTAAAAATGATTGAGTTAAACAGAAGTTATATATCTGAGCAATTTTACTAGAAAATTAAAAGAGCTATCCTGTAGGTTTTTTAACTAACCTTTTCATCTCAATTTAGTTTAAAAGATGAGGGACTATCACAGCTTGTGACTGGTACAATGTTCATTTAATGTGTCTTTCCGGAACAAAACTGTATGTATTATGTATTGATATATTTCAAAAGAAGAAAAATGTTTAAACATGGACACTGAATATACAATTAAATTACCCATGTAATACCATGCCAAATAAGTATACAAGTATATATTGTTAAGATCTTTTTAAATCAATAAATATATATTAATGGCTATTCATTCTATATATTGTTACTGATAATCTATACTCTCTGATATTGTATAGTTTTGGCAGCTATTCAACCTGGTTATAAAAATTTGTTCGATTACTTTAATAAATATTTGCTCTCTCCCGTCTGCGCCTTTATACGAGTATGTCTTGCTTTTATGTTAGAATTGATTTTGTCATGCCTCAATAAACTATTGAAAAAAAGAAAAAGAAACATAATGGCATTGTAGTATCTAAACTGTTTTTCCGTTGTAATCATATATGATGGTATTGCGATAAATAGAAAATTGTCATGCGTCTTTGTTTTGTTAACAATGTATCTCATTATTTTTTGCAATATATCCAATTCACAGTATGTCTTTATCTTAAATTGAAACTACACCCTTTATTGTTCACCACATTTTTCCCTATTTATGTTCAGAGTTTAAGTCTAGAGATCTACATACATGTATGTCTGTGTTGAAAATTAAACAAAGTAATACAAGAAATGTCCCTCATGTGTGACATGGTTAGAGAAAGTTTTTATGTGCTTATGTTAGAAGAAGAAAATAGCAAACTTTATTTCTCTTGTTGCATTCGTGTAATACTGTATATTTTTTAAGAATTTTTAATACTGCCACTAACAAACTTGAGGGGCGTATAAATGGATGTGCTTATCATTCAGTCCATCAGAAAATTTACTTCTGAATTGCCCATTTCCTGGACAGAAATAATCAGAAATAATCTGATCTGTAATTTTTTCAATCATTTGTCATATTATACACATTGTAAAACATTTCTTTCATTTCAGCGGATAAAAGTACGATATACGTTTAAAGACAGCAATTTGTATTTGCAATTTATTATACTATTAACGAATCTGAAATCATACATAACTTATGGGTTAGATAAGAAATGAAGGTTGGCCTAAATTTCTTTAGAAATAATAGCTCGGGGACACCCCCATACACACGTATACACATTTTATTCGCGTTATCATATTCTAACATCGCGCAAAGTTAAAACTATTTCTTTTATACATTTTTCGTTTTGCCTATATATGTATGTATGAATGAATTAACCTGTTGCACTCGCCTTAGAAATCAATATTCCTACAGCTTTTTTTTATAAGTTCAATACTGAATTTATTGCACGATTTGAATAAAATTATATCATGCGAGCCTCTGGTGAGCTTAATATAATTTTATTCAACGAGTTCAATTTCAATTTATTCTATTTCTAGAAATTCCCGAAATTTTATATAATACCCACTTTTAGCAGTACTTAAAAAATATTCTGCCCAACCCATCTCAACGTTCAATCAACCCTCTTTATCACTAAAATATTTCACTGTGTTTTAAAGTTGAAGTAAAGATAACATATTTTAACAAATACAGCCTGTGTTTAAACATAGTCATTGAAAATCCAATTAAATTACCCTTTCAATACCATGGCAAATAAGTATACAAGTATGTTGTTAAAATCTTTTAAAAGCCAAAAAATATATCTTAATGGTTATCCATTCAATATATTGTTATTGATAATCTATACTCTCTGATATTGTATGGGTCTGACAGCTAGTCAATTTGGTTATTCAAATTTGTTCAATTACTTTTGAAAGATTTGACCTCCCGTTTGAGCACTTATATATACTTCGCTTTTATGTTCGATATGATTTTGTCATGCCTCAGAAAACGATTGAAAAAAAAGACATTGTAATATTTAAACTGATTTTCCGTTGAAATCTTTTACGATGGTATTGCGATAAACAGAATATTAAAATTTTGATTTTGTATTTAACAGTGTATCTCATTATTTTGCAATATACATGTACATCGTGGGCTTAGCGCAAAACGGTTGTAACTCACTTTTTTCCACAAAATAACATTTTTTACATTTTCAATGTATTTTGTGGTTATGCATATCCTCAGTACGTATTTTAAACGGATTCTGAAAATTAACAAGTTAAATCAATATTTGTCAAGAGAGTGTATCTCAAATTGCTCTTAATTTTCAGCGCATAATGGTTGTATCTCAAGTTACAACCTTTTTGCGCTAAAAATTCTGATAGTGCAATGGAAGTAAATTAGCATTCTGTTTGTCTTATTTGAATCATCACATGAATAGGAGGATATACATATATAGACAGTAGAAAAGATTTTTTTTTGATATATCTAAATAAACCTTAAATATTGGTAAAAAACCCAACTAAATTGTTATTTTATATAATCACATATTATCTTCATGAAATATATTTAAATGTATATTACACTATAGTTCAATCTCATAAATGA